ACAAAAATCATTACTATTTTGCTAGAACTCCATTTTTTCTATCGAATGAGGAAAAGAAACCACCCATTTAGTGATTTCAACTATCCAATAAAGTGGTGAGAAATTGGCAATTTTGCCAATTTCACACAAATTTCAAAGGATGCCAATTTCCAAATAGGGTCCAGAATAAGCAAGACAGACATTCCTGGCACTAAAATAATAAAATAACGTTTTCTGTGTTCATTAGTCATGTCCCCAGGCCTCTCTTACTTTTCTTTTGCTTTCCACTTTGAATTTTTATTCTCACAAAAAATAGATTTACTGTTATGCAGACTACTGCATTAGTGTAGAAATGGTATAAATATCAGCGCACTTGTGAAAGAATATTAGACTCGCCAGTTGAGATGTATTGGGCGCGTGCATGATTTGTTTACTTTTGAACTTTGGCAAAAATCGAACATTTCTGCTACTTTGAGCTTAATTTCCAGGTACTTTTCATCATAAAACCAATCAAAATCATATCAATTTCTGTAATGTGTCTTCCATTCTATAAAATGAGACCAGGAAAACTAGAATACAACCATAAATAGCATACGAAAATACACTGCAAAGTCGCTGTTTTAACCCTTTGACTCTTTTGGTCGTATATACATATACGTCTTACGAGGCAGTGTTTCGGATGTATATATACTCGGTAATTCTCGCAGCTTCAAATCAAGCAGGAGAAAGCTGGTAGGCCCACATGTCAGAGAATGGGTCTGTGTGGTCAGTGTGCACCACATAAAAAAAAATCCTGCAGCATGCAGTGCATAATGAGAAAAAACTGACCGTTTTTTTTTTTTTGGATTAAAAAGCTGACTTTGAGGTGTATTTTCATATAGTATTTATTGTTGTATTCTCGTTTTCATGATCTCACGTGATAAAATGGAAAACATATTGCAGAAATAGAGATGATTTTGATTAGTTTCACAATGAAAACGTCCTGGAAATGTTCGATTTTTACCAATGTTCAAGAGTAAGCAAATCACACCACACGTCCAATACATGTCAACTGGGGAGTCTGATATTCTTTCACTAGTGCGCTGATATTATTTATACCATTTTTACAATAATGCAGTAGTCTGCATAACAGTAAATTTTATATTTTTTGTATGAATAAAAAATCAAAATAGAAATCAGTAATAATATAAGAGGGGCCTAAAGATGTGACTAATGAACAGATGATGTTATTTTAGTGCCAAGAATGTCTACATTGTTTATTCTGGACCCTATTTTGAAATTGGCATCTTTTTTAATTTGTGTGAAATTGGCCAAATTGCCAATTTCTGACCATTTTATTGGGTAGTTCAAATTGGTAAATGGGCAGTTTCTTGTACTCAATTGATTGAAAAAATGGAGTTCTGAAGAAATAGCTATGAGTTTGGTCAACTGGAACAACGGAATTGGCCAAAAACAGGGCTCAAGGTCGGCGAAATCGCCGATTCATATATGTCGCTGAGACCGCTTACTTTGCAGGAGCGTAATTCTGTGGGTTTTTGACCAAATTTTGTACTTTTGGTGTCACTATCATCAGTGAAAAGATTCTCTTATCATTTCATAAGAATTTTTTTTTTTTTTTTTTTTCCCAAAAAAATTTTGCGACATAGAATGACAGTTTCAGAAAGGGGCTTGCGACAGTCAAAGGGTTAAACAAAAAGACAGTCAGAGTTTTTTTTTTCTCATTATGCACTGTGTGCTGCAGGATTTCTTTTATACTGCACACACTGACTACATAGACCCATTCTTTCATATGTAGGCCTACCAGCTTTCTCTTGCTAGATTTGGAGGTGCTAGAATTTATGCATACTAGTACGGCACCAACCCTGGCGTGCAAGCCGTACTAGTATGGCACCAACCCTGAAAGGGTTAAAGGAGGGGTTTGGGATATTGGCAGTTTGGAGGGATGTGTTGTATATTTTAATACGTATATGCTTCTAAACTGTTGTATTCTGAGCACCTCTGCAAAAACAATGATTATATGTGAGGGAGGTGAAAGTGTTTTCTTTTTGGGGATTTTCTTTCTTTTTGGGTCACCCTGCCTCGGTGGGAGACGGCTGACTTGTTAAAAAAAAAAAATACATTATGTAAAGAAATTATATTGTAATACAGTATTTACCTTGGAGATGGAGAAGAGATGCTGGGCACAGCAAGCATCTTTACATAGCTCCAACTCACTTAACTGCTACAATTTTTGTTTTAATGTTACTTCACTATTCGCTGATTTTTGGCTTACTCTCAACACTTGTCACACTTTCATCTGTAGGGCATTTCAATAAAAACTGTCCAAGGAGGTTTGTTTCTTCCTCCCTTTCAGAATGTTTTAGAAATGACTTATGCAAGCGTCATTACATACCTCCAACGCATTATTATTATTAATTAGTATGTATGTGTTCTTATAATAATACTCTTGCTTACCATTTGGAATTTTTATTCACACACAAATTAGAAGAGTTACTGTTATGCAGACCACTGCATTATTGTAATAATTGTATAAATACTAATGTCAACCCATTCATGACTGTGGTGGCCTGGTGGCTAAAGCTCCCGCTTCACACACGGAGGGCCCGGGTTCGATTCCCGGCGGGTGGAAACATTCCGACACATTTCTTACACCTATCCTGTTCACCTAGCAGCAAATAGGTACCTGGGTGTTAGTCGACTGGTGTTGGTCGCATCCTGGGGGGCAAGATTGAGGACACCAATGGAAATAAGTTAGACAGTCCTCGATGACGCACTGACTTTCTTGGGTTATCCTGGGTGGATAACCCTCCAGGATTAAAAATCCAAACGAAATCTTATTCTTATTCTTATGAGACTGGACAGGTGGACACACATTGGACGGTGACGTATTTGTTTACTCTTGAACATTGCCAAAGAATCGAACATTTCCACTACTTTGAGCTCAATTTCAAAGTACAGTGGATCCCTGCATAGCGACTTTAATCCGTGCAAGAGGGCTGATTGTTATGCGAAATGTTCGGTATGCGAATGAATTTTCCCCATAAGAAATAATGGAAATCAAATTAATCCGTGCAAGACACCCAAAAGTATGAAAAAAAAAATTTTACCACATGAAATATACATTTTCCTACACACAAAGAGAAGGATACATGCACAATAGTAGAGTAGTACATGCACAATATATATTGTGCATGTACTACTCTACTAAATGAAGAATAAATGACACTTACTTTATTGAAGATGCAGCAATGACTGATGAGACACTGTGTCCTGGGAGTGCCTTTTCCTCCTGAGTACTGTAGGTCCTGTTTGGCATTTTCTTCCAGAACAGGCCTTATCACACTGTGTATGCCACTACGATTCTTAAATCTCTCAAACCAACCTTTGCTGGCTTTAAATTCACCAATATGAGCACTAGTTCCAGGCATTTTTCCCTGTTCACCTGGGTGTTAGTCGACTGGTGTGGGTTGCATCCTGGGAGACAAGATTAAGGACCCCAATGGAAATAAGTTAGACAGTCTTCGATGACACTGACTTTCTTGGGTTATCCTGGGTGGCAAATCCTCTGGGGTTAATTTTTCTTGGTATTCTCAATAAGCCACACCAACAACGGTGCTACAGCAGCAGCAGCAGCAGCTGACGGTGGTACAGCAGCAACAGACGATGCTACAGCAGCAACAGACGATGCTACAGCAGCAGCAGACGATGCTACAGCAGCAACAGACGATGCTACAGCAGCAGCAGACGATGCTACAGCAGCAGCAGACGATGCTACAGCAGCAGCAGACGATGCTACAGCAGCAGCAGACGATGCTACAGCAGCAGCAGATGATGCTACAGCAGCAGCAGACGATGCTACAGCAGCAGCAGCGATGCTACAGCAGCAGCAGACGATGCTACAGCAGCAGCAGACGGTACTACAGCAGCAGCAGCAGCAGCTGACGGTGGTACAACAGCAGCAGCAGCTGACGGTGGTACAACAGCAGCAGAAGCTGACAGTGCAGCAGCAGCTGACGGTGGTACAACAGCAGCAGCAGCTGTACCACCAATAGTAGCGATGGTTGATTGGGGTTTATTATACAACCTGGCCAGCTTGGAGACACGCACTCCACTTTCATACTTATCAATGATCTTTTTCTTCATCTCTATAGTAATTTTCACCCTTATTGCTGTAGGGTTGGCACTAGAAGCTTTCTTGGGGCCCATGGTCACTTATTTTCCAGAAAAAATCACCAAAAACACTATAATAATACGAAATATTCCGATTGTATGCTTGGATGTTACCGCGGATGCTGGCTGGTAAACAATGCCACCGGCGGAACATGTGAGCGTGGCTCAGGCCGCACATTGGACGCGTCTCGGACGAAGAGCGGTGAGCGGGTTTTTGGGCGGTATGCGAGGCAAAATTTTTGCGAAAAAAACGAGCGGTATGCGGATTGTACGGTATGCGATGCGTGCGGTATGCGGGGGTCCACTGTACTTTTTGTTGTAAAAGCAATCAGAATGATATCTATTTCTGTAATATATCTTCCATTCTATCAAATGAGACCAAAAAAATGAGAAGACAACCATAAAAACCATACGAAAATATACCGCTAAAGGGCGGCTAATGGCTGAGAAGTGAACTCCATTATTTATGGCCTGATTTCTTTCAATTTTGGTGTATGTTAAGAAGCATCTTTCCATCATACATTGCCCAAGTTTCAGTAAGATAGTCCAACAAACAAATGAGATCCAATTCCCTAGATCAAGAGCAAGAGCCCCTCACCAGCATCAAGGAACCTCCCTTGAAGCCCACTAGCATCTTGAAATTTTGCTCGCATCTGGAAGCAAAAAATCGACTGAGCGACTGCTCGTATCTTGAAAAACTCGCACGTTGGGGCACTCGTAAGTAGAGGGTCCACTGTATTTTGAACTGCTGTTCATACAAATTATGTATGTGCAATTTAACTTTACAGATTCAGGCTTGTATATTATATAGTGCACCATTACATTACCTAACTTAACAAATTTTTCACCAGCCTGTTCGATTTAAGCTGAACCACAGCAGCACAAGAGGAAATAACACAGATAAGGAATATTCTCTTTGGGTGGGAGACCTCACCCCAGATGTTGATGACTTTGCCCTTTACAAGACATTTGGCAGCAGATACAACAGTATAAAGACAGCAAAAGGTTGGATTTATTTTTCTGTCTATTCATTGCCTCTTTCTCTCCTGCAGAAATTGGATGATAACTGCTGAATGCCTATATAGTAATTAATTCTCCACCTTTTTTGAACATTCTTCCTTCACAGATACAAAAGGAGCAAGTAAAATATTTGCTGAAAAGTTGTAGAGGATAATTTTCCAATATAAGTTCTATATTATATTTTCTATTTTCCGTTTCATCACTAATCTTTAGATACAATGTCTGAAAAAAATAATTTTATTGTGTACTGTCCAGACACTGTGCTTAAAAACAAAACTCCTTTAATGTTAAATTATTGGGTATGATTTAAGCTAAAGAATACAGCCCTGGTGTGTGTATGTGACATGTTAAGTGTTAATTAGTTGTGATCTCTATTGAAATTTTAACATCTGTAATTGAGTGATACTCTAAAGAGTCCATCATATTCAGTAAATCATATTTTTTCCACTATCTCAAAGTAACTAATTTTTTATTTCCATGTCATTGCGTCTACATAAAACTCTTCTTTTATATTTTAACATCATTTGGTTTAGTCTGCTTTTTCATGGCAAGTTTCTCCCTTGAACTGGAAATGCTGCTTTGCAGGGAGTAATATAGCTGCTCCAGTTCCCATTGATGCTCATTTGTTTAGCCAGTCTCACTTTGCAACTCCACTTTTCTCCTACATTTTCTCAATTACCACATTGTTCCTTGGGGATAAGCCTAGCTGAGCTTCCACCACTTTAAAAATAATATACATGTTTAGAATTCATTTAATATTTAAATTTTTTCAGTCTTTGAATTAAAATTTAAAAAAAATTTACATTGCCTATTAACCCTTTGAGGGTCCGTGCCATAGATCTACGGCTATACGTTGAGGGTCCAGACCGTAGATCTACACCATGAGCTCAGCTCACTCTGATAAGCTGTGAGTGGTAAATTTGGGCCTAGATATGAGAGAATACATCTATGTGGTATGTGTGCACCACATAAAACAAATCCTGCAGCACACAGTGCATAATGAGAGAATAAAACTGAGACCGTAATTTATTAAAACAGCGACTTTGCAGTGTTTTTTCGTATGGTTTTTATAGTTTTATTTGTGATTTCTTGGTCTCATTTGATAGAATGGAAGATATATTATAGAAATAGAGATGATTTTGATTGGTGTTATTAATGGAAATGGGTTGAAACTGAGCTCAAAATAGCAGAAATGTTAAATTTTTGCCGATGTTCAAGAGTAAACAAATGATCCCACACGTCTAATACACGCCAGCTGGTGGGTCTAATATACGTTCACAAATGTGGTGATAATATTTATACAATTATTACAGTATTGCATAACAGTAAATCTTCTATTTTTTGGTTTGAATTAAAATTCATTATGTGAATAAAAAATAAAAATGGAATTCATTTGTAAAGCCTGAAAACGTAGCTAATGAACAGAAGAAATGTTAGTTTAGTTCCAGGAATGCCTGCATTGTTTATTCTGGACCCTATTTTGAAATTAGAATACCATTTTGAACTTTGCATTAAATTGGCCAAATTACCAATTTCCGATCACTTTATTTTGTAGTTGAAACAGTTGACTTAGTGATTTCTTGTGCTCAGTCGATAGAATAGAAGTAATACTAGTGAAATAGGTAAGAATTTGGTTGACTGGAGTAATATAATTAGCCTAAAATGGGAGTCAAAGTCGGCAAAATTGCCGATGCGTAAATATTGCTGACACATCAAAATTTGTAAGAGCATAATTTCATCAATTTTCCATAAAATTTCGTACTTTTTGTTTTATTACCTTCAGAAAAAGATTCTCTACCATTGCCTAAGAAAAAATAAAAAAAATTTTTTGAAAATTCTTGGATACTGGTGCGCACTTTGAAATTTGGCCTTTGGACCCCAAAAGGGTTAATAGTATTAGTGTAATTTTATTTTGGATTAAAAGAATACCATACCTAAAAGTTTAACCACTAAGACAGATGTGCAACACTTGAGTATCTTTAATGTGTTTTTATTAGCATTAGAGATACCCAAACATTGCACGTACATCTTAATACTGTGTACTTGGCACTTTTCTTTCTTTACCTTATTGCTTCTTTTACACAGTGGCCATGCAGAAAGACTGGAGCAAGTTAAGTTGATAAAGAGTGTGTATAATCGTGGGTGGCTAGAGTATTGTATAGAATACTGGAAAGGGCTGGCGTTCAAAGCTTAAGTCTGTATGAGTAGAGATGAATAGTCCATTGGATTTTAGTAGGAAATATATATATGTATGGTTTCATGTATTCAATAACAATTATTACTAAACTTGAATTATAGTTGTTTGAGTATACCCATTGAAAGTGGGGTAGGGGTGTAAAGGTTCCATAGGTTAACATTCGTGCCCTTCAAGAAGAGGAACTAGAGAGAGAGTGATGGTAAAAGTATTTTCTTTGGATTGCCTTTTCCTAAAGGGAAATGACTTCTTTTGAAAAACATGCATTCTGAGATTTTTTTTCTGCAAGGCCTGGTCGTGGACTGGGCCATGGGGGTGTTGACAACTGGAACACAGCCCAGGTATACAGTATTTTTTTTCTTTGAAAACAAATGGTGTTTGATTCAGGAATAAGGAGGCCAAGTAGTCGAAGTGAATTATCTTGTAAATTTTTCGGTTGCTCTTTAAACTAGTATTGAAGGCAGTTCAAATATATGGGGAAGATTCTAGTGTTCCATCTCTTCAAGGTAGGGATATTCCAACAAGAAGCAAAGCATCAGTAATAGTCTTCCAGCTTTTCCTTTTATGCAAAAAAAAAAAAAAAAATGTGAAGGGATTTGGAGAAACTGGCTAACTGGACTTGGAGTCCTGGAAGTGGAAAGTACAGTGCCTTCACTCTAAAGGAGGGGTTTGGGATATTTGCTGTTTGGGGGGACATCTGTACTGTTATATCTGCACTCTTCTGGTAAGAGTGATAGTGTGAATGATGGTGAAAGTATTTCTTTTTTGGGTCACCCTACCTCAGTGAGAGATGGCCAGCTTGCTTTTTTTTTTTTTTTTTTTTTTTTTACCACATGATGATTTATAAACTCACTTATTTGACATGCTTATTTTCGAGTGCATGAAAGTACACAGCTTTATTTTCACAATGAATTAAATAATTTTCCTTCTTTTCTAGTGATATACGACCCAAATGGACAAAGCAAAGGCTTCGCTTTTGTACGATTTTATTCAGAAGATGAATACAAAGATGCCCTCACTCACATGAATGGCTTCAAGGGGTTAGGCCAAAAGCCCCTTAAAGTTAGCTATGCTGTTCCAAAAAAGCAACATTATCCAGGAATGTGAGTGTTTTCCTGTTTCTAACATTTTGTTTTAATTAAATTTTCTAGAATGTATTGTTATAGCAATGAATATTTATTAATTTTTGAAAGACATAGTGAACCATAGAATTGATGAAGGGAAAAAGTTGGGTGGTGCATTGAGGCATCTGTGGTGATGACAAAGAACATCATCTATGGAGCAGAGGGAATGCTTGAGAGTATAGTGGTACAATACACTTTATATGGGTGTGAAAAATGGGTTGTGAATGTTGCAGTTGGAGGCAGAGATGGAGATGTCGTGTCTGAGGGCAATGTGTGGTGCAAATATTGTGCAACGAATTTGTAGTTTGGAGATTAGGAGGGAGTGCAGAGTTACTTAGAGTATTATTCAGAGGGCTTAGGAGGTGTAGGTTGTGTGTGTGTGTGTGTGTGTGTGTGTGTGTGTGTGTGTGTGTGTGTGTGTGTGTGTGTGTGTGTGTGTGTGTGTGTGTGGGGTGTGTGTGTGTGTGGTGAGTGTGTGAGGTGAGTGAGTGTGTGAGATGTGAAGTGAGTGTGTGAGAGTGAGTGAGTGAGAGTGATTGGAGGCCAATGGTTTTTGGGACTTAACAAGCTGTTGGAGTGTGAACAAGGTAATATTTTGTGAATGGATTCAGGAAACTGGTTAGCTGCCTGCACTCAGAAGTACTGGTGGGGATATTTGCAGATTGGAGAGGCATTTGAACTGTAGTATTTGAGACCTCTAACAAGTCAATGATGGAATGAATGATGGTGATTTTTTTTTTTTTTTTTTTTTTTGGGGGGGGGGGGTCATCCTACCTCAGTGGGAGATGGGCATTGTGCTAGAAAGAAGAAAAAAAGTTTCACTTTGGTAACTACATAATTTCTTATTCTATCCTTTTCAGTTTTTGTGACATTACTCTTTAACAAAATGTAAAACTAGATTTTAGAATCTCTAGGAAAATGGTGCAAGTCAAGAGTTCCAGTGAAACTTAAATTTAATGAAATAGGAGAGGGAGTGAGGGGGTGTTCATTAATTACAAAATCAACTTATCCAGGGGACCCTGTAACAGTAATAGACAATCCTGGATTTAAGACTTTGGTTTCCAGTCACAGATTTTGTTCATTAACCCTTTCACTGTCTCTCACATAAATCTAAGTCATTGAGGCCAGTGTTGCTTATGTAGATCTGTATCTTATTTATGCCTTCAAATATGCTGTGATCAGTAAATTTTGGCCTAGATATGAGTGAATGGGCCTGTGGCAGATGTGTAGAGTATTAAAAAAATTTCCCCATGCATTGCATGATAGAAACAGGCTTTGAGATGTTTTCTTGGATGATTTTTATGGTTTTTTCATGGTGTCAATTTATAGGCCAGAACATGTACTAATGAAATGGCCACTTTTGATTTTCAACTGGAAATGGCCTGAAGTAGGCCTCAAAATAGCTGAAATGTTTGATTTTTTGGCGATTTTCCTGAGTGCGGGTAGAGGACCCACAGCTCCTTCCCTAGTTTGTTTTATGAGTTTTTACTAGGCCTTCTTCAATTATTTGGAGGGCCTAAATCTTGATCAATCAATTTTGGTTATATTAGCTGAGAAATAGGATAGCCTTGGATGTTTTCTAAGAGTTAATTTTGCCATAAAACCCACAAGACTAGATTCAAAATGGAGAAGTGTTATATAAGAGAGGCTTAGAGAAATGATTAGTGAATAGAAGAAAGGTTGATTTTGTGGTTGGATGCCTACAATATTTATTTTAAAGTGTTTTTAGATTATAATTTGTTGAATTTTATGTAAAGTTGACAAATTACTAAATTCTGGACTTTTTATAGGGTAATTCTGTTAGTTAAATAGCAATGTCTTGGTCTTAATTGATAGAAAGGAAGGGTATTAACAAAATAGTCAGGAATTGGGTCAGTTTAAGCACTGGAATTGTTGTAAAATAGGCCTCAAGTTGGGTGAAGTTACAGTTGTTTTAAATGCTTCTGACCACACTTTGCACTTGCATAATTGTATAAGTTCATTGAATTTTGCATTTTTGGTGTCATTACCTTTGGAAAACAATTCTCTACCATGTCATAAGATAATATATTTTTTTAAATTACAATACTGTCAACTCTCAGTTTTTGGGAGACTGTGACAGTGAATGGGTTAAATCTGAAATCCATTAAATCTCAGTCCATTTAATAAATTTTTACTGTACTTCCTATAGCTAAGTAGAAAAGAAATATATGTTCATTAATTGAAATTCTATATTAGTTTCAAAAAATTAGTAAAAGATTCAAATAAGGTGTTTATTAATTATATACTAATGGATTGAAAAAAGTATGTACCCATCCCTACTTTATTATTTTTCAAGTGTGTACCAAGGTGTTAATTTTGTTTTATCAGGAATAATATGGGAGGTGACTACAGTCAGTATTATGAACAATACTGGAATAATTATGCAGCCTGGCAAAATTACGGCACCTACTATGATCCCTATGCTTCATCATATGGTGACTATGGCAGTGGCTTAGAGGGAGGCAATGGGGATTCTAAGGATTCCTCTAAGGAAGATTTTGAGCCAGTTGGTAAGTACTGTTGGTGTTGTAATGAAAATTCTTGTGATGGAAATTTGATTGATACTTATGCTAGTAAAACCACCATTAACAAAGATTTAGATTCAGTACTCGCATATTACACGGGATCTTGAGCTGAGGTGGCTTGTGTTGTCGAGTAATGCTATTTAAAAAGTCTTCCTAATGCTGTAGTGCCTTTGCTATCATTTATTTTCATGTTTTTGAACCGTTATCAAAATAATATACTTAGTAATGTATAGGCAGATTTATGGCATTTTGAAAAGTTAATTTTGAGGCTAGGTTGCTTACTTTATTTTATTTACTAGTAATAAAAAGTGGTTAATAGATAGGTAAGATGGTGCTGTAATCAGTATATCAAAAATGAATTGTCATTTGAGGCTTTTGAGAATAAAAATGATGAACTCACTAGATGTCACTTTTGTGAGTCACTTACAAACCTTTGTAACAAAGAAAGCAGACAAATTTGCCAAATGTTACTCTTCAGATCGGCTACAAACGTTTGCAACAGTATCACAGTAATCAGTCATACAGTTTTAATTAAACTGGTCTTACTTTTAAGATTGCTGAGCATTTTTGTATAAATGCAATTTTCACTCAATATGCATGTTTCACTCATTTGTGAGTTTGTCGGTTTTCTTCTCATCTCCTCATTTAACACTTATTAGATAAGGGGCATGTTTGAGCTAAAAGTCTTTAATGATTTTTATGCTTTTAACATCCAAACCTAATTTTTTTTCTCAGAATGGAATGTACCTATAGATATCAACAAGACAAACAAGGAATATATTGATAGAAGTGAAGAACTCTGGCAGGCAATAGAAAAATCCAGATGGAGTTTCTGGGATGATACCAAAGAAGACGAGTGATTGTTAAATTTTTTGGGTATTAATATGTAATTGAATTTTCTAAAGTACTTCATGCCCATCTACATTCACCTTTTTTTTTTTTTTTTTTTTTTTTAATATATTGCTAGCAAATATTAAAATTCAACATGTACACACATGCACATGCACATACACATATATGCATACAGTAAATATATTCATATGTATAGTGCTGTGTATATGTCGTCGTGCTTTTTAAGCTGAATTTGCTCTCATCTCATTTTTGTTTGGTAAGCATGGTTTTTGCCTAAGAAAAAAGCATAAGTTATTTGTTGCAATAACTGAAATTTTTGCTAGATATCATAAAATTAATGTTGAAATTAAATTATACTAAATAATCTAGTCTCACTTTAGCCTGGGTAGATTTAAACTATAATATGTTATTTGAATTTTAACAAAGTTAGGTTAAAGTGTAAACTAAAAAAATGTATGCTGTATAATTAACAAAAAAATATCCATAAGTGCATAAAAGAGAATCAAGAATTTTTTAAAGATACTTTGGCTTTCACTGACAACCTAAAAAGCACGACATACTGATGTATATTTATATGTTAACTCTTTAGAACAATTTTGACTTGTTCATTGAAGGGCTGCCTACTTCCTTCATATCGTAGAATTTAAAAAAAAAAAAGATTATTTTCTGATTATCAGTGCTTAATAAACCAGTACAAGTTGATAACTTGAGCCTTCTGTCTATAGTAATGTGATGGAGTTTAACTTGTATGAAATTTATGAAGGGGTAAGCCCTAGCTTGAGTTTCAAATAAACGAAACCATTTGTAAAAATCTAATTTTTTACATTGCCTTTTTGTTTTTATTTTAGATTGGTAACCCATAGATAGGAGGATTAGCTAAAATTGGAACCTTGACACACCAGCTTTATCCTTCAATCCTGCTTGCCTATCGGATCAGACTCTTTTCTCATGGGTTGAGAGTCCCGAGTGTTTCTTCTCAAGTTTAAACATTTATCTGTATCAAACTGTGTGGAGTGAAACAAATTCTATACTTTGCTGGTAATTGTAAGTGGCTTTTATTTAATCAGTACAGTGGCCAGTTACAGAATGTTTTATTGTTTATAGTACATTTTGATTTGTTAATAAAAAATATCATCTAGACCCAGTTATAGAGGAAACTCATCAACATGATGATATTTCAGGTTGACTCATATATCCTCATCTTAATTGTGAAAAAGATCATAGAAAAGCTAACATATCTTGGTAACATTTTTTAGTATACTGTAGTTACTTTTAAAAAATTAACTTATTTTATCTGATATGATATTTAAAAAATTCCTTTTGACACACAAGTACGTATATGCACACGAGCAATGGTGTAAACAGTGTGTTCACAACTGAAAGGTTCTGGAGTCATATCTTGGGCAGGGAGAGGATAAGGACAAGTTTCCTTACACCTGTTGCCCTTGTTTACCTAGCAGGAAATAGGTACCTAGGTATTGGTCATCTCTTGTAGGATGCAACCTTGGGGCATTGAAATTCTAATAATGAAGATGGCACACCATTGTAATACCTCTGCTCCTGTATCTTCAAATAGTCACATATACATATACATATACATGCACATGCACACATATACAGCACTGTATATTTATATTTGTGGTTGTTGAGAGCTATTCATTAGCACATTGTGTGTCCATGTATGCCATGAGGACATTTAACCTCCATAATTAGGGTTTGTACTTGTAGAATTTTTCATAAGCAGTTTAAAAATTCTATTTTTCTCATCTCTGTTTATATATTTATTACTTCATATATAGGATGAATTTTTTATATAACTGTACATTTGCTTGTTAGATATATGAATTAGGTGCGAAGTTTTTTTTACAGAGGTGATATTGAGTTTTGAGTGAAATTGCATATTTTCCTCTATACAAAAACATTAAGGGGTTCCAAATACTATATCCAGCATGATAGAGACCTCATCCATTTCATAAATTTGGCTGTTTCTTAAGAACAATTTTAAAACAAAAATCTTGCTTGTATAAATGTGCATATACATATAGTATAATATGATATTTGGTACTTAAGAAATCATGCTGTTGTAGACAGATAATTTATTCACCAAAAATATCCTTGTATCATTTAGCTGAATTTACATCAGCCAACTCTGTCACTTGTATTATATCACTACTTTACACATACACCTTCAGTCTCTTCTTAAACCACTTGCATAAACTCTTAGCACATGTAAAATTGACTTAAAGTGCACAAAAAGCCACAGTGATATCCAAATGGACAACCTAATTGATTTTGGAATTGTGGATTTATCCTATGAGGAGAAATTTGGAACAGTTTCATCCTGGAGTTCAGATATGGTGTTTGGAGTCCTGTTGTATGAAATTTTACTCATGGTTTTATAAAAGCAACTAACCTAAAATTACATCTTCTCATTATATACTTGTATTCTTTTTTGATTTGAACTAATTTCAGGTGTATCAGAGCTAATTTACAAAGTAGAATAATTACTCTTATGCTTGTTTTAAGCATTTAAAAGGTGGCAAAAATCTCTTCTTTTGTTGAATACTGTATATACTGTACTTTTTTCATTTCTGATCTGTTGCTGCTTTAGTTTTCCTGTTCAGATGATCTCAGGATTCTTTACATTATTATTATTATTATTATTATTATTATTATATTTAGTACTAAAAGCAAGGGGCTAGTAACCCCCTTCTCCTGTATACATTACTAAATTTAAAAGGAGAAACTTTCGTTTTTCCTTTTGGGCAACCCCGCCTTGGTGGGATACGGCTTGTTTGTTGAAAGAAGTTTAGTACTAAAATGTCTTAATAAATAGGCTAATTTATACTAATAATTTCAAAAGTGGGAATGTTAAGAAATTTATTCAGTTGTGAATAAAAATTTATTTTACATTTGTTCAGCATTTCAGGATGACATCAAAATATCTAAATTTTGTGCTATTTTCCAAAAATTATTTTTATTGCAGTAGCTTACCTTTGTGTGTTAAGTGTACACCAGTTGCTCTTTCATTAAATAAAGTGCTGCTGTGTGTGTTCATTTTTTGCTGATTTACTTTTATCTGTTACCATAGCAGATTTTATTGGTTTAGTTATTCATTTTCGTTTTTGAATTTACACATATTTGTGGATAATTACTTTTATTAAAATAAGGACCCTGTAAACATCAATAAAGTTGGGAAGTAACATTAGTATTGTATGTTTACTTTTCCTGGTGAGAATTTTCCATATTGCAAATGCGAGAAGACCGTGTTTAGTGTATACCTTTATGGAACACTTGCCTTGCTGTATCATATAAATTTTTTTTTTTTTTTTAACATGTCGGTCGTTTCCCACTGAGGCACCTCTTCAAGGGGGGCTCCTTGGTGTGGTGAAGAGGCTCTTGGTCTCAGGAATTAGACCTGTCAGTCTCCTTCCTCAGACCGAACCTAATTACCCCCCAATCCCCCCTTCCCTCTCCCATCCTCCCCTTTTTCCTTTCCTCCTCCTCCCCACCCCTCCCTTTTGCCCTTCCTTTTTGGCCTTTGGGATTTTTTCCCACAGGCGCACTAGTTCCTAGGAAGGGGAAAGGGTACCGGGGTCCATCCCATTCCGTTGAGGTTCTTGGCGGTGGCGTAGTTTGCCGTGGAATCTGGATTGCCTGGAGATGTCCCGATCCCTCTCCGGTATCCTGGAGGCTGGCTTTGGGTGTCTTTCGGGCGACGGGTGTATCTCTGGAAGCCACCTTTTGGATTCTGGGGGTGGTGGCCGAAGGAGGTATGCTTTGTGGCGGATATCCGGCCGCCCTCTCTTTTGTCCACCGAGGTAGCTCGGCAGATGTGAGGTTGCTATCCCGGATTGCTGGTTTCTGGCATGATGGGTTAGGGTATGGCACGGGTTCATGCTGCATCTGCGTACTTGCGGTGTGTGAGGTCCTCTTGGGCGCGGAGGGAGATTTCTGGCCCTTTCTTCCTCTAGGAACTATTCTCCCGGTCCCCCTTTTTTTATTCTTTTTTTTTATTTTATTTTATTTTCTTCTTTCTTTTTTTTTTCTTAAAAACAAAAGAAAGAAGTAACCTAACCATGAGTACCCGATCCATGACCCGCTACCCCCGGGCCCTTATTGTCACCCTCACTCCGTTCTGACCTCGCCTCGTCTTTTGGCCACTCTTCGGACTTCCTCAGGCCCCTTTACCTCTTGCTGGTGCTGTTTCCTCCACCCCGCTTGGTTACGGGGCTTCCACTGACTCCCTCGATTTTTGACCTCGCTTCCTTTGATTATGCTTCCGACTTCTCCCTCTACGGTGCGGAGATTTTGAATCGCGGTCCCGTCCCACATCGGACTGATCTTGCGTCCCATCGTTCTAGAGTCAACGACATCTCCTAATGATGTTACTTCGTTACCTTCCCTTTCTCACGGAAAGATCGACATGTCAGCACTCCCTTCCACACTCGGTTGGAGCACAATGGACTAATTCTTTACATAAGCCGACTTCTACTGCCATCTTTCCGGACAATGTATTGGCCAAAGCGTCTCTACGCATATGGTAGAGGATTTTCCTTTCATGCTCTTAAGAGTGGTACGCGCCATCATCACAGTCTAGAATTCTACCCAAGCTGCTGTCTTTCTTTCACATACGATACTATTCCTCTCACTATCGCAAAACTTTATTCTTAATTCTTGTAGTGGTACTGTTATTTTGCCCATACCATAGTCAACAGAATCCCAGTCATGTGGCACTGACATTCTCGAACAGCCTGGAACTCCCAAGATCTCCCAATTCTCAGGTAGACACTTATGTTCTTCCTGCCCGCGGGTGAAGACAATACCCTTGCAATGTGGCTCGTTTAACTTTTGACAGCCGTGAACTCCCATCCTCTGTTTATGTAGCAGGACATCGGTTACAAGTTCGGAAAGTGATCCCTACACCGCAACAGTGTAGGAATTGCTGGCGATTTGGCCACCCAGCAAAATATTGCAGATCTATAACCGAATGCCCAGTCTGTGGTGCTGATGACCATTCTAATACGTCTTGTAGTCGAACTCCCTCTTGCCTTAATTGTCATGAGGCTCGCCCTTCGTACTCTCGCCATTGCCAAGTCTACTTAAATGAACGGGAAATTCGTTGCCTCAAAGAGGCAGAAGGTCTCCCTTATGCTATGGCAGTTTCTCATCTCCGCATCCAACTATGATATAATCCCTAGTGTTAAGTAGTCTGTAAGCCAATAATGTTAAGTTGGCCCATAATGTCTAGGCATAATAGAGGCTTTCTTTGCATTGCAACCCACTATTGTAAATCCAAAATCTCAATGTACTGTTTGCAAAGACATAAAATAAATAAATAGAGTGAAGTATGATTAAAGACGAACGTGGTGTGCAACAGTAGTATTTTTATGAACAGAATTAGATACACTGCCTTGGGCAGCTAATCTTATCAAACTTTACAAGGTTAGCCCCGTAAGTGCCTAGATGCCGATGAGGGCTCTTGATCCCAGGATTTGGACCTATTCTCCCCTGCTTTGGGTTGATCCCCCTCAAGAGAGGTTCCTTGATGCTGGTGAGGGGCTCTTGATCTAGAGAATTGGATCTATGCTCTGGTTCCCTGAATTGAACCCGAATACCTTCCATCCCCCACATGCGCTGTATAATCCTACGGGTTTAGCGCTCCCCCATGATTGTAATAATAATAATTTGGGTTGATCGTGATTGTCACCCATTCCCCAGGCACTCTATGACCCTTCGGGGTTTAGCGATTCTTGATTATTTTAATTTACAAGATTAGAGCATGATATACCAATATTATCTTCACACAACTATCTTATCTCAGATTTTTTTTTCGTCATACTCCCATCATACATGATTTTCCTGTCATATTCCATCACACTCCATGATATTTTTTGTCGTACTCCATTACATACGATGGTTTTTCTGTCAATTCACACATGACGCTTTTCTTGTCATATTCCATCATATGATTGTGTCCTGTCACTCCATCACACATGGTCCTGTCATACTCCACACATGGTCCTGTCATACTCCACACATGGTCCTGTCATACTCCATCACACATGGTCCTGTCATACTCCATCACACATGGTCTGTCATACTCCATCACATTGGTCCTGTCATACTCCATCACACATGGTCCTGTCATACTCCATCCACAATGGTCCTGTCATACTCCATCACACATGGTCTTGTCTACTCATCACACATGGTCCTGCCATACTCCACACATGGTCCTGTCATACTCCATCACACATGGTCCTGTCATACTCCATCACACATGGTCCTGTCATACTCCATCACACATGGTCCTGTCATACTCCATCACACATGGTCCTGTCATACTCCATCACACATGGTCCTGTCATACTCCATCACACATGGTCCTGTCATACTCCATCACACATGGTCCTGTCATACTCCATCATACATGGTCCTGTCATACTCCATCACACATGGTCTTGTCATACTCCATCACAAGGGGTCCTGCCATACTCCACACATGGTCCTGTCATACTCCATCACACATGGTCCTGTCATACTCCATCACACATAGTCCTGTCATACTCCATCACACATGGTCTTGTCATGTTCCATCACACATGGTCCTGTCATACTCCATCACACATGGTCCTGTCATACTCCATCACACATGATCCTGTCATACTCCACACATGATCCTGTCATACTCCATCACACTTGATGGTTTTTCAGTTGCGGCCCCAATGGAAATAATAATAATATAATATCTTTATTTCTACAAGTACATGTACATGGTATACAGACCAGCTGACATCAGTAACATACTATTATATGGAAAGTCGCTTGTTATGCTGAGCATTTCGGGCAAATTCAAATTCAAATTCAAAGTTTATTCTCTAAGGATTATAATGCTGAGTTTACAGAATTTGGTTATTGTGTGGTTTACATGCATTAAAAATAATAATTACAGAGTGTACCACTAGAACACCTAGCATGGCTAGGCATTTCGGGCAGACTTAAATTAAATCTTAAGTTTAAAATATTACAAAATTATGAGGTAAGTTGGTATCATGGCTAAGTGACTAAATACTAGTTTGTGAGTTTAGCAATGTGAATGCTTTTGTTTTGGCACTATACATAGTTTCAGTATTGGAGTATCACAGGCCAACTTATGACTAGTTAAGATTCATTATTTTGAGATTGAGATTGATATTTCTGTTTATGGTCAAATGGGTGAGTGAGTGTAAGTGTTAACCACCAGGTGGTATTCGTGTAATTAGTTGACAGGGTTGTATCAGGGAGATAAGATGTTTTCTGATGGTAGTTTTGAAGGTGATGAATGTGTCTGCAGTTTTAGAATTTTCAGGTAGGGTGTTCCAGATTTTAGGGCCTTTGACATACATTGAATTTTTGTAAAGGTTTAGTCGGACATGGGGAATGTCATAGAGATGTTTGTGTCTGGTGTTGTGCCGGTGGGTTCTGTCGCAACTATCAAGAAAGCGTTTTAGGTCAAGGTTAATATTGGAATTTAAGGTCCTGTAGATGTAGACTGCACAGTAGTAAGTGTGGATGTACTAAACAAGTTTAGATCTATGAAGAGTGGGGGGGGTGTGTTTCCAGGGATGGGATTTAGTGATTATTCTTACTACGGCTTTTTGTTGGGTTATTATTGGCTTTAGGTGTGTTGCTGCAGTTGAACTCCAAGCACAGATAGCATAGGTGAGGTATGGATATATAAGTAAATGGTATAGTGTGAGAAGGGCAGTTTGCGGCACGTAGTATCGTATCTTGGAGAGGATCCCAACCGTTTTGGATACTTTTTTGGTTATGTGTTGGATATGGGTGCTGAAGTTCAGGTTGTTGTCGAGGTATTGGCCTAGGAATTTGCCCTCATTATGTCTGGCAATTAGAGTGTTGTCGATCTTAATGTTAATTTGCGCATCTCCTGCTCTGCTACCAAACATAATGTAGTAGGTTTTGTCAGTGTTAAGCGTAATTTTATTGGCTGTCATCCAAGTCGATATTTTGATCAGCTCCTCATTAACAATGGTGTTGAGGGTGGCAAGATTAGGGTGAGAGATGACATTAGTCGTGTCGTCAGCGAAGAGAATGGGGTTCAGGTGTTGAGATACGTTTGGAAGATCATTGATGTATATGAGGAAGAGCAGGGGACCAAGGACACTTCCCTGCGGAACTCCAGTATCAAGTGGCTGTGTTGTTGATGCTGTGTCTTTAATGGTGACATAGTGATACCTATTAGTAAGGTAAGATTTGAAATATGCAAGCGCATGGCCTCTTATACCATAATGGTCAAGTTTGTGGAGTAGGATGCCGTGGTCTACTGTGTCAAAAGCTTTTCTTAGGTCAATAAAAATTCCTAGTGGATATTCCTTATTTTCCAACGCTGTGTAAAGCAGATCTAGCATTTTTATGATTGCATCATTAGTGCTTTTATTTTTCCTGAATCCAAATTGGCAGGGGTTGAGTATGTTTTTTGCCGTTATAAATGAATATAGTCTCCTGTGCACGAGTTTCTCAAAGATTTTGGATAGCAATGGTAAGTTTGATATTGGCCTATAGTTGTTTAAATCTGTAGGGTCACCACCTTTATGTATTGGTGTAACCCTTGCCGTCTTGAGTAGTTTCGGGAAGGTGCTAGTTTCTAGTGACTTGTTAAAAGTAATGAGATAGCATGCGAGAGGACATGGGCTGCTCTCTTGTACAATAATGGTGGGACATGAGACAGATTCCCTGAGTTATTTTTAAGTGACTTTATAATCTCAGTGACTTCCATGGGCTCAGTTGGAGCAAGATAGAAGGAATTTGGGAAATTCCCATCTAGGTAGTCCCCGGCATGGGCATTGGTGCGTGGGATTTTATTGGCGAGATTAGAACCTATGGTTGAGAAGAAGTCGTTTATCTTGTTAGCTGTGTCAGTGGGATGCAGTGGTGTTTCATTAGGTTTAGTTAGGGCAATATTCTTGTTTTTTTTCAGTTTGTGGGTCCCTAGAATCTGAGAGAGTGTTTTCCAGGTCTTTTTTATATCTCCTCTTGTGTCAGTGAATCTACTGGAGTAGTATAGTTGTTTGGCTTTCTTTATTACTTTGGTGAGGACTGATGAATAGTGTTTAAGAATATCTTTGTGTATTAAGCCCTGCCTATATTGCTTTTCATATTGGTGTTTCTTATCAATGGATTTCAGAATGGTGCTGGTTAGCCATGGGCAACCAAGCTGTTTGTTTGTGATCTGTTCCATTTTTATAGGACAATGTTTGTTGTATAGTCTAAGTAATTTGTTAAGAAAAATGTCTGTCCAGTCATCAATACCATTGGCCTTGGAGAATTCTGAAGGCCAGTCAACAGTCTCTAGGTCAGCTGTGACTTCCTAATTGAGGTCTCATCATGGAGTCTAAATGAAACTTTGTTGTATTCAAGTGGTGGTTTACTAATGTTTGTCAAGAGGAAGGCAGGGTAGTGGTCTGTAGTGCTATCTGTGATTATCCCTGATTTAAGGGGGGCTAGTATATTGGTCCATATGTGGTCTATTATGGTTGCACTTGTTTCAGTGAGCCTGGTTGGTTTAGTTATTGTTGGTATGAGAAGTGTGTTGTTCATATTGTTGATGAAATCAGTTACAGGCTGATCATCTAGTAGGCCAAGGTTGATGTTGAAGTCTCCAGCTAAGAGAAGGTGGTGCTTATTCATTTGTCTGTTTGTTATTAGTGCCTTTAGTTTCTCACTGAAATTTGGGATGTTTGTGTGAGGTATCCGGTAAATGGCACCGATTGTTATAGGCGTCTTAAGGTTTTTTTACAGTAAAATTAGCAAAAATGTATTCTCCATATTCATCACTAATGCAAGTGGTGCTAATACAAGATAATTGGTTAGAGTAATAGATTGCAATACCACCCCCAACTTGGTATGGTCTGCAGTTGTGGATTGCTGTGTATCCTGGTAGAGGGTAGATATCTATTATGTCCTGCTTAAGCCAGGTCTCAGTAAGAATAATGCAGGAGAAGGGTGTCTTTAGTGATTCAAGGAGTGCCAGGAGGTCATCATAGTGTTTACTTAAGGACCTGATGTTGTAGTTAAGTACTGATAGACTTTTAGCATTGTTTAGGATAGTGCTGGCTTGTGATGCTGTGTAGTAAAGGCAGTTACTTTCCAATAGGTTTTGATTGTGTTTCAGATTATGGAGGTTTAGATCAGGGTCGACGTGATCAATCATCTTCTAGGTTTAAATTATGGTTATTTATATCCTGAGTTGTGGGTTGAGTTTTAGTACTGATATCTGTAGTGGTGGGAAGTTTGGACAAGTATATAGCTATAGCATTTTGGTCATGTAGAGTATAGTCACTAATACACATAATGAAGTTGGTGTTGTCTATGTGTTGTGCTGGAATGAGCTAAAGTACAACTAGGTATAAACTAATAATATAAAAATACAAATTAAAAATAGCACAAAACACTCACTTGTAATTGCACTAAGGTCTAATGTAATGACTTTGGTATAGTCTATGTATTGAGCTAGAATGAGCTATAGTACAACAAGGTTTAATCTAATAATATAAAAATACAAATTAAAAATAGCACAAGACACTCACTTGTAATTGCACTAAGGTCTAATGTAATGACTTTGGTATAGTCTATGTATTGAGCTAGAATGAGCTATAGTACAACAAGGTTTAATCTAATAATATAAAAATACAAATTAAAAATAGCACAAGACACTCACTTGTAATTGCACTAAGGTCTATGTAATGATTTGGTATAGTCTATGTATTGATGCTAGAATTGAGCTATAGTAAAAAGGTTTAATCTAATAATATAAAAATACAAATTAAAAATAGCACCAGACTCTCACTAGTAATTACACTATGGTCTACCTGGAGTTTACCTGGAGAGAGTTTCGGGGGTCAACGCCCCCGCGGCCGGTCTGTGACAGGCCTCCTGGTGGATCAGCGCTGATCAAACCAGGCTTTTATGCTGTGGCTGCACACAACCAACGTACGAGCCACAGCCCGGCTGCTCAGGAACTGACTTTAGGTGCTTGTCCAGTGCCAGCTTGAAGACTGCCAGGGGTCTGTTGGTAATCCCCTTATGTGTGCTGGGAGGCAGTGAACAGTCTCGGGCCCTGACACTTATGTATGGTCTCTTAACGTGCTAGTGACACCCTGCTTTTCATTGGGGGGAATGGTGCATCGTCTGCCAAGTCTTTTGCATTCGTAGTGAGTGATTTTCGTGTGCAAGTCGGTACTAGTCCCTCTAGGATTTCCAGGTGTATATATCATGTATCTCTCCCTCCTGCGTTCCAGGGAATACAGGTTTAGAAACCTCAAGCGCTCCCAGTAATTGAGGTGTTTTATCTCCGTTATGCGCGCCGTGAAAGTTCTCTGTACATTTTCTAGGTCGGCAATTTCACCTGCCTTGAAAGGTGCTGTTAGAGTGCAGCAATATTCCAGCCTAGATAGAACAAGTGACCTGAAGAGTGTCATCATGGGCTTGGCCTCCCTAGAATTTGGTATTGACTATGTATTGAGCTAGAATGAGCTATAGTACAACTGAGTTTAATCTAATGATATAAAAAAGGCACAAGGCTCTCAGTTGTAATTGCACTAAGGTCTTATATAAGTTGTTTACAAGAATTAGAGTATAACTAGATTTAAATTGACAAGATAAAATATGCAAGTTAAGGTAGCAAAATAATAAAGTAGAAAAAAAATATATGAGGTAGTTGGTACTAGTTAGCAAAAGATAGTTAAGGGCTTGAACTAATATATAATTGAAATATACACTAATTGCACACACAATATAGGCACTAAGATATGAAAACAATCTTAGAATAGGACTTATAATATAAACTTATAATATAAAAATACAAATTGAAATGGTACTTGCAATTGCACTAGAGTCTGGTATAGGTTGTTGACAAGATCAAGAGTATAACTAGATTTAAATTGACAAAACAAAATTCACAAATTAAGTACCAAAAGAATAATAAGTAAAAAATAACAATGGCAATGTCTTGATTACAATATGATAGTAAGATGGTACACAGGTACAGAGGCACACAAGTGCACAGGTACAAAGGATAATATAAAGGTTGGAGTTGAATATACAAACTTGGAAATTTGGCAACAAAATTAGGTCAATGTTTCCCCAGGATGCGACCCACACCAGGCGACTAACACCCAGGTACCCATTTTATACTGATGGGTGAACACAGACAACCGGTGTAATGTAACATCCCAATGTTTCTACCCTCGCTGGGAATCGAACCCAGACACTCTCCGTGTAAAGTGAGAGCTTTAACCACCAGACTACCAGTGGCTTTCTTTTTTACTTAACAAATTAAAATTATAAATACACATTGTAACCTTGCAAAGAAAAAAATTTAATATGTGTAAATAACCTAGGACAACTCCCCTCCCCCCCAATAAAAAGTCAAAGTGGTTTATTTCCACTGCTGAAATTAATCATGACTGAATATGCGTCTTTATTTTCACAATCTACCTGTATTCATCCACTCAAAAAGCTGTATTCCTCGGCTCCTTTACCCCGTTACCACGTAAAAAAAATAATATTGAAAAAGGTAGGAGGCGGCGGCGGCAGGCGGCAGCGGCGGTGGTGGTGGCACCAGCGGCGGCAGCGGCGGCGGTGGTGGCAGCAGCGGCAGAGTAGCAACATGGCTGTGAATAGCACTGGTTTGTGGAGGCTCCTCCGGCTCCAGCACGGCGCCTCCATCATCAATGTCTCCTCCAGATCAAGGTAACAACCTCCACACTATAATGAACCTGTCTTCCACAATATGATGTTATATACACCACTGGTTGTTATACAACATCTTGCCGGCGTCATGCAACACCATGACCCTGTCCAGGCCATGTTCATGTGCATGAACATACTTTACTGCACATTTTAGGCAGTAAAATTTCGTTGATGTTAATGTGGAGGCGGAATATAGCTTCATTACCCCTCGTCCTATAAATGAACCGTAAATTTGACAAAATGCCAGCCTCACCATTGATTATATTGCAAGATTTGCAAGGTCACCCATGATATTTAACATTCCAGGTTGATATAGTTTGCAATACTTGGTGATATTATAGTACACGCCTATAAACACTTTTATTCGGGTTATATACGGTTAACTCGTCTTTATCAAGGTATACCTTGGAATTAATTAAGTGGTAAGTGTTAGATAACATATGTTGGTATAACCTTGGAAATTGTCATGCTTAGCAACACAGTGCAATGACCTTGTAATTAAATTTGTTAATAAAATATATGTAAATTCTTTTTATTATAAATATATCTTCAGACGAGATCCGTTATTCAGAGCTCATGATTTGAAGAACTGGAGCTGATGTAAATTTATCAAATCTCGTATGGAGATTTATTACATATTACTACTGTAATAGTACTTGCACACGAAAATCACTCACTACGAAAGCAAAAGACTTGGCAGACGATGCAACATCCCCCCAATGAAAAGCAGGGGTGTCACTAGCACGTTAAGAGACCATACAATAAGTGTCAGGGGCCCGAGACTGTTCAACTGCCTCCCAGCATACATAAGGGGGATTAGCAACAGACCCCTGGCAGTCTTCAAGCTGGCACTGGACAAGCACCTAAAGTCGATTCCTGATCAGCCGGGCTGTGGCTCGTACGTTGGTTTGCGTGCAGCCAGCAGCAACAGCCTGGTTGATCAGGCTCTGATCCACCAGGAGGCCTGGTCACAGACCGGGCCACGGGGGCGTTGACCCCCGGAACTCTCTCCAGGTAAACTCCAGGTAATATTGTACAAACATTTATTAATTAAATCTCCCTTGCAGATTTTTTTTTTTTTTGTAAATAATACATGACAGTAATAAATTGATAGTCCACAATTTTTAAGGTTCAGCATGCAAAATAAAAAAATTAAGTAGCACGTTAAGAGACCATACAATAAGTGTCAGGGGCCCGAGACTGTTCAACTGCCTCCCAGCACACATAAGGGGGATTACCAACAGGCCCCTGGCAGTCTTCAAGCTGGCACTGGACAGGCACCTAAAGTCAGTTCCGGATCAGCCGGGCTGTGGCTCGTACGTTGGTTTGCGTGCAGCCAGCAGCAACAGCCTGGTTGATCAGGCTCTGATGCACCAGGAGGCCTGGTCACAGACCGGGCCGCGGGGGCGTTGACCCCCGGAACTCTCTCCAGGTAAACTCCAGGTAATGTATTATAAAGATACATGGGTTGATATTTTTACTATGGTGATGATTTGCATGAAAAAAAACCTAGTTTATCTGGCTGCCAGCCAGATACAATACTGCTTAAGTTAATGTAAAACCTAACATCATTACATTAAACGTCGTAATAGGACTGCATAGTTTTGCACAAAGTTCTCAGTCGTGGACATGCAGAGATGTCAGACTTGTCTCCCACGAATGTATTCCTTCCTCTTTCCAACATATTTTGAGAAAGAAACAATAGATAATTGAGTTGACAATATAGAAGAGAAAAAAAAGGAGAGATTTGAATGAAACAGTGTATAGGTGCAGTATGACCCCTAAAGGTTTAGTGCTTCCCATAAATATACTAATAATATTAATATGATGATTGATGGGTGATGCTTGAATGATGTATGATAATGATGTATGATGATTTAAAAGATAACTTTGGAGTTACAAAGACCCAACTTACTTGACAGTCTGGAGACTTGTATACTTGTAGCAGCAAGTTGATAAAGATGGAAGCAGGGGTACCAGGTTGATCATGAAGGCATCAGGGTGGTAATGATTGCAGCAAGTTGATAAAGAGGACAGAAGGGTGTTAATGTGGGCAGCAGGATGGTAATGAAGGTAGGTAATAACAAGTCTAATAGTGTATATTGTAACGAAGGCAGTCAAGTAGCAACAAGGGCAATAGGGTGATAATGAGGGCAGTAGGATGGCAACTAGGGCAACAGGTTCGTAGAGGGAGCAGCAGCCTAGGCCTGTATTCCTTGTATATGTACTTGTAGAAATGGATATTATTATTAACTAGGCCATATTATTATTAACTGGGCCTTATTATTATTATTAACTGGGCCATAGATGTAGTATTATTAACTGGGCCAATAGGTTGGTAAAAAGGACAACAGGGTGGTAACAAGGCCAGTAATTTTGTAACTAGGGGCAGTAAGGTGGTACTAAGAATTTTGCTCTCTTACTGTCAAGGCATTGACTAACAGATGGGTTATATATATTGATTTTTACATTCTACATATAAAACTATTGTGCAGTGGTTCAGTACTGTACTGTATTTGTAAAACTCTTTGCAATACAATAGTGACTTCTTGCAGGCAGTTCCATATTTTGGGTCTCCTGTATTTTCATACATTAGCTCCCACTGATTAACCATTAAATGTGGAATATTTAATAGGCATGGTATTTCATTGTGTGATACCATGGGACACTTAGTCCTGTATTACAATTCACAGAGTCCTAAAAGTACACGGTGTAGCGAGGTGTGATGATATAAAGTACAGTATTATATGTACTCCATAGTAGAGTGCTAAGAGAGGTCTAGTTAGGACCTTTAATCTAATGTGCTTTCTTTGTTGATTGTTTAATAGTTCAAACATGAGGTGGTTCGTTGTTCATGGGGCAGGCAAAAAGGCAGCAAGTCAGACTTTATTTAAGAATATAAGGTAAATGCATTAAAAGAATTGTTTGCAAAAAACAAAGTTGAAAGTGTTGAGCCTTCTGCCAAAATTAACAGAAAATAATTGCCTAATTTATGATTTTCCAGACTTGTTAGTTGTACTTGTGCCATGAAGGATAAAAGTCCCAATACCGTGGCTGGAGGAATTCACAACTAACCCACACAGGAAATTTTTGACATTTTGGGCCATCTTCAACCATTATTAAGTCAACTGATTGAGAGATAACAGAGCAGACCTGTTTTCTGGTCTTCTGCTTTTTGTCACTCGGTTGTGAATTGATAATGGTCCAGGATGAACTGAAATAACATCTAAAATTTTCTTTGTGGGTTATTTGTGAATACTTGTGCCACATTTTTTGCTTTGGCTTTTTAAATAAAATAACTTTGCTTTTCCTTTGCTTTACATATAGTATAGGTGTTCATTATTCTATGGCTATTTTCCAGTACTAACTTGACTGTGAGATCATAGGCAATGCCTTCGTTCTTATCACTGACCAATGAGTTTTTTTGCTCCAATTACAAGTGGATTTTTGACCTTTCTCTCTTCACCGCTGCCAGTTGTGGGAAGTGGTATTTGCATACCTGCACATTAGGAATGCTAGACTGGCACAGTCAACTCATGGAGAGAAGCCTGGTGCCACTATGCAAGGGTTGTCAGGTCATCTTGACAATCCAGCATAACTTGGTTAATTGTCTTGTTCGTCAGAAAGTGCACCAGCCATATTTCAGATAGTACCCTCTTTAATACCTTGAATACTGTACTTTGCCTGTCCTCCTTTCTGCTTTCTTCATGAATTTGCTACATCAGCCGTGATACCCTACTTCTTTTTTGCATACTGTATATCCTTACCTCAGCAAGGTTATCTCTTTCCTCATTTTCCTCTCACCCCTGCCATGTAATGCTGAATGAGCCTAGAGCTTTCAAAGAATATTTTTATTTTTTATTAATACATTGGCCATTTACCACCAAGGCAGGGTGGCCTGAACAAGAAAAACTATCATCATTCACTCCATCACTGTCTTGTCAGAGGCATGCTTACACTACAGTTATAAAACTGCAACATTAACACCTCTCCTTCAAGGTGCCATCACTGTACTTCCCATCTCCAGGACTTGTGTCTGGCCTGCTGGTTTCACTGGATCCCTTCATGTGTGTTACCTTAAACTCCAACAGCATGTCAAGTCCTAAAAACCATTTGTCTCCATTTGCTCTTATCTAACATGCTCGCACATGCTTAAGAGTATAAAAACATAAGAATGGAGGAACACTGCAGAAGGCCTACTGGCCCATACAAGGCACGTCCTTATCAAAACCACCTCTACCCAAAGCTATCCAAGAATTTACTCCCATACCCACGACACCAATCAAACCCAGCCCCTCCCACTCGTATATTTGTCCAATCTCTTTAAAACCACCCAAGGTCTAAGCCTCTATCACCCTGCTCAGAAGATTGTTCCACGTCTCTACAACTCTGTTTGAAAACCAGTACTTACTTATGTCCTTTCTAAATCTAAATTTATCCAACTTAAATCCATTATTTCTTTTTCTTACCTGGTTCAACTTCCTCTGTACTTTATTATCACCTTTGTTTATGCCCATCATCCACTTATACACTTCGATGATATCTCCACTCATTCTACATCTCTCCAGAGAGTGAAGATTCAAGCCTTTAAGTCTATCTTCATACGGGAGATTCCTTATACTGTACAGGAAATCATTTGTCATTCTTTATATGTTCTACAATGAATCTATATCCATACTGTAGTAAGGGGACAAAAACTGAGCAACATAATCCAAATGAGGCCTCACTAGTGATGTGTAGAGCTGTAAGTTATAGTAACTGCTTCTTTAACACAGTTAAGGTACCAACAGATGTCCTCGAGAGGCCAGGCCAAAGTTTGGCAGACGGTAACTCGACACCGCCACCAGCCTTGAAATGCTGCAACCAGTTCCTCCTCCCCCCCCCCCCCCCCCCCCCCCCCCACACACACCACACACACCACAAATTGGAAGTTGAAGACTCAGATGAATCAAAGGGATGTTAGGAAGTATTTCTTCAGTCATAGAGTAGTCAGGCCATGG